GTCTTGGAAGAGTTGTTGAACTTAGCACTTAAAAGCGTTAACTGCACTTTTTGTTATACTAAGCTATTTTAATATCCAGCAGAAGACAAACCATCTCACTTGCTACAGCATCAGCATACTTGCTGCTGCCTATTTTGTTCCTCCTTGCCTGCAGTGTTATGGACCAATTCTTTTATTTGTTTTTGTTTTTGTTTTTTTTATTTTCTTCAGAAAGGTCACAGTTGCTTCCACCTATCAGTAGTAGAGACAAAGTAAAAGATACTTTTGCACCTTGACTTTGACCTGGAATGGATGTTTCTATTTAGAAAGTAAATTAACTTAAAAGAAAGTGAAGGAAAGGAAAGAATAAACACCAATACAGAAGTGCAGTGAGTGACTGCCTGTGTTTAAATACGGCTTCCAAGAAAAAGAACATTGTGAATTCCGTAAGTGCACAAAACAGGCAGTAATCTGAGGTAAACTGTTTGCTCAGTCAGGGATGTCAATACCTGATAAATGTTATCAGAGAGACACAAATTAAAGGAAGGTGCAGAGCAGGAAGAACTTCTGATGGATTCCCAGAAGACAAGTTTAATCAGGATCATTATGTACTTTTACGCAATGACTGGGTACAATGAGGTAGATGAGTTACACAAAGCACACATACTTGCTTTCAAAGATCTCAGCAGCTTAGAAGGTGGTATTTCCATGAAGGTACCAGTGACTTGATTTTGCTTTTCTGTACTCCAAAAGTTCTTGGAGGGGCCGTGTGTGTGTGTGTGGAGGGAGACAGGGAAGAAAAGTAGGAGCATGGTAAAAAGCATTTTAACTGTAATAAGACTGTACTGGGAGATGTGGACTTTTCCTTCACTGTAACTTAAAAGGCAATCTTTGTTAGGAAAATAGCTTTGCTCGAAGATAAATTTAATGTATAAATTAGCCATTATGGCTTACTAGGTAGTAAGTCACAGATATATGAATATTTTGGTTTTCACCTTGTGCTAAAAGGAGCCTGCACCCTCCAAGGAAGTGGAAAATAGTTCACTGAGAGTCTAGTTAATGTTTCATGGTCACTGCTGTTGCACTCAGGAGAAAAAGGACACCCTAGCCCTGTTCACTGAATCAATTTTACTCATGACTGCAAATCCTTTACTGATATGTTGTTCCTATAGGTCATGTTTGCTTCCAGTTTGTTCAGAATTTATTACCTTGTTTCCCCTGAATTTATCTCAGTTGACCTATCTCTTTATTATAGGACATTTCAGAGATGATCATATAAAGTATGAAAGAAATGCAAAGCAAGAAGGAAATAGACCCTCCCAACCAGAGTTAAGAAGAGCTGTTCATGTACCTGCTGTGTAAATGTGTATTATGCTAGCTTCAGCTCACACTACGTTGCTCTTGTAAAAATAAAGTGAAAACTACTTGAAAATAAAATATAAACTAAAGCCAAGTGAGTTTTAAAAAAATCTGTTCTTCAATTTCAGAATTATAGTTTCACTTCCCTCCTGTGCATAGCTTGAAAGGTAAATGGCAATTTGCAATGGATTTCCTCCTTAAACAACTGGTGGTTTATTTAAAGTTCAAGTTGTTAGTTAACGATTGTAGACAGAAGTGTCAGAAGTAGATTTTCATCCTCTCACTAGACAAAGTTAACACTAGTATTTCTGATTTGACTGTAGTTCCAATTTGGATAGCCCAAAATTTTACTGATTAAGTTCATTTGGGGTTTAACCTAGTTTTTGGAGGTGATGCTATATTCTGATATGCCAGTGCTACTTTGGGCTGAAGCTCATCGTACCCTATTTGAAGTTTATTCTTTTTTCAGGTCTGCAACTAACCTTGACAAGTTACATCCTTTCTTTGTGCCCTGTTGCCAGTTTTCTAGGATGTTAGCTATCTTATTTCTAAGATACTTCAAGATCTCTGGAATACAAAGTTCTATATTAGAGTTGAATGATTTTTTTTTTTATTGTAATTTGTAATGGCAAGGAGACATAAATCTTTTTTTTTTTTCTTTTCTGTATCACTGCCTTGACATGTGACTGCACTCATAAATCTGACATTTCTAATGTCTTTGGAAGAGGAAATGGTTCAAATGTTCCTTTGTAAGAATCTTTTTGTCTTAATTCACCTTCCGAATATGGGAGTAGTCTTGTTCTTTGTGAAGAAATTAAGTCACTACTAAAAGGAGAGGGTGAGTGGAAAATAAATTTGCACAAGATATGCCTTTGTTTTTGGAACCAAATCATCTGAGATAAATTGTGAGTAATAACACAAATGGAATCTGAAAATTTTCTTTGATTCAAGAGAATTGGATGTGGAAGTTTACAAGTTGTTTATATCTCCAGATAGTAATGCCAGAACATTTGTTTCATACAAATCAGTGATGTCTTTGAATGGAGAAGGCTGTGTAGGCTATGTTGTTAAGTTACTGCTGCTTCTCTTAGTGTGTTGTCAAGCTGGTTTTTTGGTATGCTGTTTTCACTGGAGGCCTTCATGTGCTATGAATAAGCTCTTTCAAATGCGGATAAATGCTTAGATGATCTGTCTCCAGGTCTAACCAGGAAAAGCATAGATTGCAACAAGTAGCAGTAAAAGAAAGAGAACTTAGACTTTGCTAACTTACCATGGAACAGATCTGAAGTGGTGCTTTTTTTTCCCCTCAGATCTAGATACTTGTCTCTGTTTCTCCATCCATAACATTTTTTGTCAGGGCAAATTATCTGTCAATAATAGATGAAACACTGTTATTAAAATAGTGTGTACAAGCAATACTTCATATTTCTGAGAGAAGAAACAGCTGAAGAAGTTAAACATATTTACAGTGAAGGGGATGAAAATTACTGTTAACAAATCTGTAAGTAACCTGTAAGTATATAATCTTTCTTTACAGGTACATTTGCACAGTATATAATAGAGAGGTCCTTCTTTGAACAATCTTCCCCTATTTCAGGCTGGGGCTTCTTCCACTCCCCAAACACCTTTTCACTTTTTATAGGTGCTCAGAAGGTTCTTTGAGAAATAAATTATTTAGATCTTCATATAGACATCCAGAAACACACTGACCCTGCTCTGCCTCATTTAGTCAGGAAACTTGAATGTATCGCAGTTCCCCAATGAGCCACTGGAGTGGTTTACCATTTTGGGCTAATATGTATTACTTCCAAGTAAACGAAGGAGCTCTGACAAGCAAAATCAGATTAGGCAGCAGTGGTTAGATGCAGTCTTCTATGTTGGGAGACTTGAGTTCTTGCCCTGAGTCAGCAAAGAAGTTTTGCTTGTTGTAAAATAATGTACTAGACATAGAGACATTCACTATTTAATGTTGAGTTTGCTCCTAAAACCATTTTTAAATTTTCTGTATTACTATCAGATTAGCATAAAGCTTTAATCTCTATTGTAGCAAATGTCTGTTTACGTAAGTTGGAAAGAGCTTCCCAGTGAGACCAGCAATCCTATTACCTTATTTTGTCTTTTTGAATAAACAAATGCCCAATGATATGTCAGGTTTTTGTGTTTGAGAGCTTTTCTTGCCAGTAGTTGGGGGTTTTTGCCTATAATGTTTGCTGTGAAATCACCACGTCATTTTAAAAATCAGCATTTTATAACCAAGTTCATTAAAAAAAAATGTAACAAAATTGCAATGACACACTTTTCAAATCAGTTATTTCATCTTCTCATCCTATTTAAATCAATGTTTTAAAGATCTGTGGGATTGCGGTCATAACTTAACTTCATGTAAATGTAGCCTGGTGCTATGAAATTGCTTCAGATGTTCTTTGGTAAAATGCTAATTCTCCACCAGGCACCTCGAATTTATAAAGGTGAGAGTGTTTACTGACAAAAAAAAAAAAAAAAAAAGAAGAATTTTTTTGTAGCACAAAGACAACTGAATTAATTCATTAGCATTATAGGTAGTGAAAAGCTGTTGGATCCATGGAAAGTGGCTGGCTCTAATGCGAGAAGGTGGGAAAAATACATGTGGGTGAAATACATTTCACAAATGTTTGTTTCAGCTCCTAGAAAATGAAGAAAACGACTCGTTGGATGATTGTTTTGTTCATCTAAAAGGCCAGATATGCTACTGGATATGGCAATTATATTACCGAGAGCACTCCTCACAAAAATCTCTTTCCTGGGAGGATGGAAAGAGAGAGGAAGGTGTTAGAAAAATGTAGGTTTGCACACCATTAACTACATAAGCACACCTCTCCTGCTGTTACAGATGGAGAAGTGGGCTGCAGAAGGGTTAGTTGGTTTAATGGTTGTGCTCCTAGGCAGAACTTCCTCAGAGGACTACAGGATACAGAATACCAAAAAGCCATCTGTTTTAGTATATTTTATTTTATGGACAGAAATTAGACTTTAAAGTGATACAAAAGCAGCAGCCAGATGTTATGCTGAGCAGTGCAGCAGGTGCCAGGAGTGGGTGGCCTGGCAGGTGCTTTGTAGAAAAGCAAATTAATTATTTCAGCTCTGCTCGTAGCAGGACGTGGAGTCACCGCGGTCCATGGCCTCGCCCTGCCCCTCTACAACAAGCAGCCCTGGGGCCACCTTTGCGAACAGACTGCAGAAGGACACCAGAACAATTCGCTACCTCCTCGCCTTTGGGCCGGTCGGAGAGAGAGCGGCCCGCACGGAGTCTCTGAGGAGAAGCCCGCGGGGCCCCGGGGCGCAGCAGCGGGCAGGAGAACAGCGTAGGGGGCACCGAGCCCTCTCGTCCTTCAACGCCGGGCATCCCCTCCGCTAAGCCTCGCCCAGGCGACCCCCGGGGCGCCCGCCCCTTGCCCGCCCCAGCGGGCGGGACCGCCGCTTCGAACGCTGGTTACCTCGCGCCGGCGCGTCCCCTCAGGCCGCCGCGTGCCC